TCTCCACCCTTGGCCAGGTTCTCTTCACCCTGCTCTCTCATAACACTTAAAACCCAAATCTCTGAGGGTGGTTGCTGATGTGAATGGAGCTGGACATGTGGTTCATCTATAGGTCCAGCCCACTAATATTTATTTAGCAGGGTTAAATGATGAGATTGCTCTGCAGAAACTCAGAGTTACTGCTGCATGATAGAAAGAAAATTTAAAACTAAGATACCTGGAGGTGTGGGTTGGGAACCAACAACCTCCCCCTTCTCTCTCTCTCTCTCTTCCCCCGTTTCCCCACTCCCTCTCTCCTTTGTGTAGGGTCTAGGGAGGAGTGACATAAGGAAGAAGGATGACTGCTTCCCACCTCCCTACTTGATGTGAATATCCTTCTACCTCTTCCTGCTCCTTTGCAAGTTTTCATGTACTCCTTTCTTTGCTCACATTTCCCTGGTGGGAACTTACTTCTCCTGCATATCTGTATCCACTGGAATTGGTTGAGTAGAATGTTGGGCTCACTGCCAGGGGGTTGTGGAGTCCAGACCCTCCCCCACTAGTTAGTTATGTAACTCTGGGCAAATCCCTCCTCTGAAATGGGAATTACTGCACCCTCCTCCCCAGACTTTTGTGGGGAAAATATAAGGAACGAGTTGGTACCCTGTAGGGCAATGGAGAATTGTAAAATAGTGGAGACTTCTTGGTCCGGACAGGGGCGGCTTTGAGGATACTGAGAACCCAGAAGAAGGAAATGCCTAAAATTTGCCCTTTTTCTCACATCTCATCACCATGGCTCTGACGCTCCTGCCCTCCTCTTTTACCTGGGTAATCCCTCTATCTCAAGATCAGCCGATAAACAATCTGAATTCCATCTGTAAACTTCATTGCGCCTTGCCACATAACATCACATACTCACAGGTCCCAGGGATTTGGATGTGGACCTCTTTGGGGGCCATTATTACACCTACCTCAGGGGGAGACAGGACCCTCTGATCTAGTTCAACTCCCACATGCTGTCCCTGACCCTCCCAAGCTAAGTTAGGTGATCCTGCTTAATGGTCTCCAGTGGTTACATCCATCACTTTCCCCCCAGTGTTGTGCTTTTTCATCTGTAGCTTTGAGGATAGAGACTGCCTTTTTCACTCTTGATTGTCACTTCACCAGAATGTAAGCGCCCCACGGGCAGGAGTCTTGGTTGGTTTTATTCTAGATCAAAATAATAGATCAAAAATAATAATAGTAAAGCTGTTAGCCTTTAGTAGTAAAGACCTTATGTATATATTTGTTGAATGAATGGATTATACTGCCATCATCTAGCATGGTCTCTAGCACAGAACACATGCTTCATGCTGCTGCTACTACTATTAATACTGCTGATAATATGCACTGAGCCCTTGCAGTGTGCCAGGTACTGTGCAAAAGGCCTTGCATGCATCATCTTAGCTGATCCACCCAACTCATGAGAAAGGAACTTTTTCTTCTCCATCCTATACAGAAGGAAACTGAAGTTTAGAGAAGTTAATTAATTTGCCCAAGGTCAAATGGCCTAAGAGGGAGTTGAACTTTTTTTAAAAATCATATCCTTATGCATTATGCTAAGTGAAATAAGTCAGACAGAGAAAGACAAATACTGTAGATCTCACTTATATGTGGAACTTATATGCACATTTGGGTAGTGTGATTATATGAGGATTCCACTTATATGTGGAAAAAAGCCAAACTCATAGAAACAGAAAGTAGAAGGGTGGTTGCTAGTGGTTGGGGGACGGGTGAAATGAGATATTGGTCAAAGGACGCAAACTCCCAGCTGTAAGATGAATAAATTTGGGAGATCCAATGTACAGCACGGTGACTGTAGTTAACAACACTATATTATATACTTGAAAAGAGAGTAGATCTTAAATATTCTCACTACATGCACACACACAGATAACTAAGTGAGGTGACAGAAGTGTTAACTGACCCTATTGTGGTAATCATTTTGCAACATATACATGTATCCAATCATTCCATTGTACATCTTAAATGCACACAATGTTGTGTTAGTTGTATCTCATTAAAGCTGGGAGCTTTTAAATATCATATCCCCCTGACACACAGGCTCCTTCCACTTCTAGTTATTTTGAGAGGCATTGCATGCACTCCGGCTTTAGGGCACATGTTCGGGTATCAAAGTGGAATTCCAGGGAAGGAGTGTCAACCCCAGCTCTGATAATATAGGGGGTATTCCCTGTTTACCACAACCCAAAGTTCAAACAGGTGGGGCGGGTACATCCCTCTGCTAGAGAATGGGGGTCATCTGTTTAGCATGAGTGAGGTCCCCATAATAACTCAAGGCACATTTGCCAGAGAAGTGGCAATTCTTCTGCAGAGGAACAATTTGGGCTTCTCTGAGGGCCGCCAAGCCAAGCCTCCAGTAATCACAGTAGATATTGTCCTAGAAAAAGGGCCTAATGTGTGAAAGCATTAGTAATGCCTTCACAGCCTTCTCTCTTGATTCACGACCTGGGGTGTCAGGATCTCATCAGAATTATTAAGGATTTTAGCAGTGGGTGGAAGGCAGCAGCCCTGTGATACTAAGAACTTGGTACTTACCTTGGGCCAACCCTCTGGACTATGTGTGAGCTAGACTGGCCTATCTAGATAGTGTTCACCCAACATATCTAAGAGGAAATAGTGGTCTTTACTGACAGGTTATATAAGCATAAGATTTTCTTGGGAAAGTTTGCTAGAGATAGAGCAGCAGGATGCAAGCGGAAAAGTCAATATTGGGTTTTTTCGTTCGTTCGTTCAGTTAACAAGTGTGCACCTGTGCCAGGCTCTGTGTTAGAGGCTGACAACCATCCTCGAGAACAGGAGCAGGGTGTCAGTGGGGCTGCCGTATATCCTAACACCTAGCACAGTGATAAGTGCATCATAGGCAAAGCAATAAGGATTGGAAATACAAAGACCGATTATAGTAGCAATTGCAAGGGGAGGTGAGAAAGACCCAGGATTGGGAGTTGGGTTGAGCTACCTGGGGAAACAGCATGAGCTAAAGCAGGAAGGCAGGCAATGAGGGCATGCTCAGAAGACAGTAGGCCATGTGGTGAGGCTGCACTGGGGTGAGGGGCAGGATGGCAAGTCACACCCGGGCCTGGTAGGAAGGACTTGAAAACCAAGCTGAGGCATTTGTACTTTACACTATACCATATGAAGATCCACTGAAACCTTGTTCTTTGAAAACAGGTGTAATTTATATGCCATAAAATTCACCCGTTTTAAATGTACAACTCAATGATGTCTAGTAAACTTACTGAGTTGTGTGATCATCATCATCATCCAGTTTAGGACCTCCTCATCACTCCAACAAGATGCCTCATGCCTGTTTACAGTGAATCCCCGTTCCCATCCCCAACCCCACGCAATCACTAGTTTGCTTTCTGCCTCTGTAGGTTTACTTTTGCAGGACGTTTCGTGGAAATAGAATCATTGTATATGTGGTTTTTCGTGTTGGTTTCTTTCACTTAGCATAGTGTCTTTGGAGCCCATCCATGCTGCAGTGTTCATTATATGGATATACCACATTTGATTTCTCGATTCACCAGCTGATGCACATTTGGGTAGTTTCTACCTTTTGGCTGTTATGAATAGGCTGCCATAAATATTCTCATGTGCAAGTCTTTGTTCTCTTGGCTAGGTACCCAGAGTGGAATTGTTGGGCTGTATGGTAAATTTATAGTTAACTTTGGGAGGAGGGGCTTACTTCATTATTTTTATTTCTTTTTTTTAAAGCAGCTTTATTGAGATATAATTTATATACCAAAAAATTCACCTGCTTTATGTATACAATTCAATGAATCTGTAAATTAGTGTATTTACAGAGTTGTACAGTCTAATTTTAGAACACTTCTAGCACCTTAAAAAGACAACTTCTACCCACTTAGAGTCACTACATTTCTGCTCCCAGCTCCAGGCAACCTCTTATTTACTCTGTGTCTCTATACATTTGCCTCTTATAAACATTTTATATGAATTGGATCATGTAATATGTGGCCATTTGTATCTGACTTCTTTCACTGAGCATAATACTTTTAAGGTTCATCCATGTTACACAATATATCAGTATGCCACTCCTTTTTATTGTCAAATGATATTTCATTCTACAGCTACACCGTATTTTGTTTCTCCATTCACCAGTTAATGGATATTTGGATGTTTCCACTTTGTCTATTTTGAATAATATTGCTACGAACATTCATGTACAGGTTTTTGTGTGGATGTATGTTTTCATTTCTCTTGAGTAGATACATAGGGATGAAATTACTGGGTCATGTAGTAAGTATATATTTAACCTTTTAGGAAACTGCAAGAAAACTGTTTTCCCTAATGGCTGCAACATTTTCCCATTGGAGGGTTCCAGTTTCTCCCTATTCTCACCAAAACTTGTTATTGTGACTTTTTGATTGTAGCCATTCTAGTGGATATGAAGTGATTTCTCATTGTGGTTTTATGTTGTATTTCCTTTTGACCAATAATGGTGACCATCTTTAAATGTGCTTATTAGCTATTCATATATCTACTTTGGTGAAATGTCTATTCAAATCTTTTGCCCATTTTTTAAATGGGTTGCTTGTTTTATTATTTTGTTGTAAGAGTCCTTGATGTGTTTGGATATAGTATCAGATTTATGAACTGCAATTGTTTTCTCCCCGCCAGTGGCTTATCTTTTCATTTTCTCAATGGTATCTGTCGAAAGATGTTTGAGAGGGAAAAGGGACAAGACTCTGAGATGTGCTTCAGAGTCTGGCAGCTGTGTGTGGGATTGATTGAAATGGACAGAGAATTCTCATTAATACATCTCCTTAAATTGTAATATAGGGAATAAGCACAGGCCAAGTTTCTCAAAATTCTCTGGGAATCAAAGGGTTATAAGCAACTATTTATTGAAGCTTGTTTACAGTCCAGTTAATCAGTAAGCCAGAATCAGTGAAACTACCCATTCTGGGGGAGTACAAAACCTTTCAAAAGGTTTCCCTGGATGAGGAGAAGCCGAGTGATGGGGGAGGAGAGATAAGTGGCTGCTTCAGAGCTACATAAATAATTTCCCCTCTGAACGGGACAATTCTGCATTTCCTTGCCAGGTTCTGTCAGACTGGTGTTTACTGGCGGGAAACTAGGAAGAGCTGGTTCTTGGCCCTTGGATTTTGACAGTTGTTGGGAGAGGTGGAGCCCATTTTAGTAGGTCTCTTTGAAAAAGCCCAGCAAGATGCCAGGCCTGCTCTCAGTCTCCTTCCATCTTCTCCTTCTCTTCAAGTTGGTTGCCCCGGTGACCTTCCGCCACCACCACTATGACGAGCTTGTGCGGACGCTGTACAAGGTGCACAACGAATGTCCCTACATCACGCGGGTGTACAGCATCGGGCGCAGTGTGAAGGGGAGACACCTCTACGTGCTGGAATTCAGCGACTACCCTGGGATCCACGAGCCCTGTAAGCCCTGAGCAGTTGTTGGAGTGGATGGGGCAGGACCCTTCCCTTACAAATCCAGTAATTGGGGTGGTTTCTGAGGAAGTCCATGGACCCCTCCACCTATAAAATATCACCTCTTCCTCCAGCTGTGCTAAGTCTTTCCCTACTTAGCCCTCAAATTGCCCCTGCTTTGGGGGAGCTGCAGCCCTAATTCAGGCTCTAGTCTGTTCTTCTTTTTGAGGTTTTGTTTGCTCAAGACCTTCATGGTAAAAGGTGAGTCTTCTTCCCTGCTCCCACCCCATCCCCCTGCCTTCCCTCCCATAACTCTTCTTTCTTCTGTGCTATTTTGCTATCTTTATTCAGTGCTTCAGGAGACACAAGCAGAAACAATTAGCTCTTCTCGTTCTGCCAGGAAACCTCAAAAGATTTAGGGATATCTTTCTGGGGAATGACAGCGTGATAGTGTATGGGAACCTGGAGAGAGCTTGAGGTCTTGGGTATTAGTTTTATTCATTGGATTACTTTTTGTTGGTTTGTTTATATTATAAAAGCAATCTGTGTTTAGATTGAAATAAAAATTAGATAAAGAAACAAGAACAAAACTCACGCATAATCCCACCACTCACAGATGATCATTGTTAAACATAGTGATGCATATCCTTCCAGACTTTTTTGTATGCATGTTTAACAACCCCACAGCACACATATTTTTTAAATAAAAATGGAATCATACTAGAACTGCTTTTCTCATCTCATCATCTTTTATAAATAGTATCCGTGTCCATAAATGTACATCTACAACATATTTTTGGGCTGCATAATATTCCATTGCATGGTTGTAGGTAACTCTTCATTGATTTATAGACATTTAAGTTATTTCTAATTTCTCACTTCTTTACTTACAGCAGTTGTGACATCCAAATTATATCAGTTCCTCCTTCACCTTGTCAGCTTCAAATCTCTCTCTTCCTTTCCACTTCCACATCCCCCACACTAGCCAAACACCATTACAACCTGCCTAAAACATTGCACTAGGCTCCTGACTCTCGTGACTCCTACCTGCCACCACTCTCTAACCCTTCCATTTAGCACACAGATGCCAGAATACTTTTCCCAAATACTGACAGAGTCCTCTCACTGCCCTCCTTAAAATCCTTCAGTGACAACCTCACACCCAGTGGATTCTGCCCTGACAGCTTCAGAGTGTTCCATGGCCAGCGGGGAGGGCAAGGATGGGCGGAGCTGCCTTAAGGAGATCCATGCCATTAAATGAGGATGAGGACCTTGCTTTGAAGCCACTCTTGCATTGAAAGCACCATGCTTGGGGGTGTATGTTCATTGTGGATGCTTGTGGGTGCTAGCGAACAATGTGGGTTAGGCCCTCCTCCCATGCCCCCTTCCACTGCCTAGCATTCAAGGCCTCCTTAGGCTTTCCCATCCTATTCTAGTCCTCACTAACCTCTCTTTTCTCTGATGCCCTATACGTTAGCTGTTCATCCATTCACACATTCATTATTCATTCCACAAATATCGCCGATGATGCCGCCATCTGCAAGCACTTTTGTAGACTCTGAATATACAACAAACAGAGAATAAAACAAAGACCCCTCCCTCAGGGGACTTAATTCTATCAGTGTAAGACTGGCAACAAGTGGGTAACTAAGTGAATATATATTGAATCAGATGGAAAAATGTGCTATAGAGAAAAATAACCTTGAAAAGAGAGAGAATGCCAATGCCAGGGAGGGGGTTATTGCTGTTTAGGAAAAGCTTCTCATTTGAGGTGATGTGATGGAGCATGCTGTACTATCATTGGGGAGGAAACTGTTTGCAGACAGAGGGAAGAGCAGGAGTGTGCTTGGCATGGTGAGGAACAGCAAGGAAGCCCCCATGGCTCCAGCAAGGTGAACAACAGGAAAGCAAGGTCAGAGCTGTATGGTTGGGAATAGGGCTACTGGGCAAGAGATCCTGTGGTGCCTTTTAAGCCTTTGTAAAGATTTTGGCTTTTAGAGTAAAGTGAGAAGCCGCTGGAGGGTCTTATGCAGAAGAATGACATGATCTGACTTAGGATTTTTAAAAGACCACTCAAAAATAGGGATACATTTGTAAAAGACCACTCAGAACAGGGGTCAGCAAACTGTAGCCTGAGGGCCAGCCCCCTGTTTAGGTAAATAAAGTTTCACTGAAACACAGCCATGCCCATTTTCTTTTTTTTTTAAGTAAACTCTACACCAACGTGGGGCTTGGACTCATGGCCCCAAGATCAAGAATCGCATGCCCTACTGACTGAGCCAGCCAGAGACCCCTGCCCATTTGTTTTTGTATTGACTGTCTGCTGTTGCTGGAAGAGTCGAGTAGCTAGACAGAGACAATATAGCCCATGATCCCAAAGTATTTACAATCTGGCCCTGCACAGAAAAAGCTTGCTGACCAGTGACTCAGGAGAATAGATTTTACAGGCGGGCAGATGCAAGGGGTTCGAGAAGGAGATTTCCTGTAATAAACCAGGTGTCAGCATATGGGGCTTGAACCAAAATGATAGCAGGGGTTGTTATGAGAAGTGGTTTTATTCTGGATAAATGGAAAGTGGGGACAAAGAATTTTATACCAAGCACCTTTAAGTACAAGACATTATGCTGGGTTCTATAGGGCAGTGGTTCCCAGACTTTTGAATTTCACCTAAGATTTTTGTTTGTTTGTTTTGTTTTTAAGAAGGTTGATTGGATCAGAGCTCCTTTTTTTTTTTTTAAGATTTTATTTATTTATCCGAGAGAGAGAGAGAGAGAGAGAGAGATATCATGAGCAGGGGGGAAAGGTAGAGGGAGAAGCAGACTCCCCACGGAGCAGGGAGCCCAATGCTGGACTTGATCCCAGGACCCTGGAATCATGACCTGAGTCGAAGGCAGACGCTTAACCGACTGTACCACCCAGGCGCCCCTGGATTTCACCTAAGTTTAAAAAAAGATTGTTTTAATAAATAAGAGAGATTGGAAGGGACAAACATAGATTTTCCAGGTTTTATTTTGCTGACCAAGGATGTTGAAGAATACTATCTGCCATCTGCTATCACCGTCCTTTCCTAAAAGAAGGGATATTTTAATGCCAAGAAAAGTAAGAAAGACATAATCTAAGATTAAAGAAATACCCTAAGATTTAAAAATACACATTATAGAAAATTCACTGCACAACCCTTGTGGGTTATAAACATTCCTTTGGGAAAGACTCCTGTAGGTATACTAAGATAAATACAGTGGATTGTATCCTAAGGAAAATGAAAATGTGCATACATTGCGAAGGCCAGGTCTAGCAAAGGAAACAGGAGATGTGCAAAATTAGGTAAAACTCAGAGTAGAAAATGTTAAGTAGTAAAGGGAAGTTCAATAACAAGTTCACTCCCAGCAGGGAGAACCCAAGATGCCTTCTCTGAGTGAGTGACATTTGAACTGAGCCTAGAAAGACAGTGAGGAGGATTTGGAAATGTGGAGATGAAGAGGTCCAGAATCAGAAAAGTCATGGAAGCAGGAGAGTGTGGGGTGGAGGAGAAATCAAGTGGCAAGAGCTGTTCTCCTTTTTAAAAGGAGGCAAGCATGATTTTCTTTAAGTGGTTCTAGAGGCTCTTTTCATGCCCTCAATTCTTCCTGCAGTTGAACAGTAAGCATAGCCAAAGAGAAGGCCTAGAATCACTCCTTCCTCCTCTGTGCCTCAAGACATGGCATTCTCAGATGTATTTTAGTTGTCTTGGTACCAGGCAAATTAAGTTTTCAACTGGGATGTTTGGAACTGTTATGCCATAACCTAGACTTTATACAAGCAGGTCTTGGGAAAACACCATTTTTACCCTGAAAAGAGTTGTTTCTGAGAAGTACCAAGCTACTCTAGATGCCAGCTGGGCTTAGGGCCTCCATCTTATTAATTAACTAGGTGACCTACAACAAGTTACTCAGCTGCTTCCATTCTTCCCTCTTCCTGAGGCTAATCATGCCTTCTTCACGGGTTTTCTGTGAAGATTAGAAGTAATGAACACAGTAGGAGTTCGAGGGCATGGGTTTCTGTAGCATTTATCATTGCAATTTGTCCAAAAGGGCCTCAGGAATCACTGGAAAAGACCCAGCAGAAGCGTAAGATTTTCATTTATTCATTACGGGGAAAGAGGGAAAAGGTCCCTCTGCATGGTGAGGAATCCTTGGCACTTGCAAGCTTTCCCCATCTTCTCTCTTCCTGCATCTTCTTCTCGCGCTTGCAGTGGAGCCGGAGGTCAAGTACGTGGGAAACATGCACGGCAACGAGGTGCTGGGCCGCGAGTTGCTGCTGCAGCTGGCCGAGTTCCTGTGCGAGGAGTTCCGGAACGGGAACCAGCGCATCGTGCGGCTGGTGGAGGGCACGCGCCTGCACATCCTGCCGTCCATGAACCCCGACGGCTACGAGGTGGCCGCCGCCCAGGTACCGAGCCCCAGGGCGGGGCCCTGCGCACAGTCCTCCGGGTCCCGCTGCCAGTGCCACCGTGTCATCGAGAGAAGGCCGGTGGATCTACGACACAGTGTGGAGACCCGGGTTCAGCCCTGTGGCAGCCTAGGCGGTGAACGTGGGCTCCCTCCGGGTTCCGTTCTCTCAACGCCTTTCCCCGGGGACCTCCCGGTTTTATTGTGCGGATCAGTGAGGCAGGGTCTGTGACAGTGCTTCCTAAACTGGAAAATATTAAACAGGTGTGAAGGGCTCTTGCAAAACAGACCTCCTTCCCTCGATTTTTAGCTTCGAACCCTGCATACTCTTCTCCCTCCCACGTTACACTCCCATTTGCATTTGGGGGGGAATAGAACTAGCTTGTCCCAGAATTGTGCGGTAGGGGGCTAATTCTAGATTCGTCATGCTATGGGTTATATTTCTTTTTTTTTTTTAATTGAGGTATAATTGACATACAATATTATATTAGTTTTTGGTATACAACATAGTGATTGGACATTTGTGTATTTTGCTAGGTGAATACCATATTTCTACACGGCTTTTTCCTCTACTAGTATAGTACTCAACCTTTAAATTATTCTAGAATTACATTGTGCAGGGGTCTATGGGCTTTTACTTCATCTTCTGGCATAAATTCAAAATGTCAGTGTGCCTAACTTTAAATCAATGATTTTGTGTGTGTGTGTGGCTGTGCATCAGAATCATAGGTGAAGATTTTTTGAAATACATATTCCTAGCTGCACCCCCCCCCATATACTGAATTGGAATTTTTCCAGGGTGAAGCCAGGCATCTGCCTTACACAATGGATATGTTCCTTTAAAAGCTGTGTCTAAACCTGGTTTGTTTGGGATTTTGGACGAGGGGGTGGGGGGTTATAAATTAAAGAGGCTTTTTTTCCAATTTAAAAATATGTCTATTTGAGGTAGTCTTGCCATTTTTTTTTCATTTTTAAGACTAAATTTCACTACTTTACTTTTTAAAAAAATTTTATTGTGTTAAGAACAGCCAAGATGAGATCTACCCTCTTAACAAAACTTTAAGTGTACAAGACAGTATTGTTGACTATAGGTACAATGTTGTCTCCAAAACTTAGCTATCCTGCTCAACCAAAACTTTATGTACCTTCATTAGTAACTCCCCAGTTCCCCCTCCTCCCAGCCTCTGGCAACCACCCTCCACTCCCTGATTCCATGAATCCGACCACTCTGTCTCATACAAGTGGAACAAGGCAGCATCTGTCCTTTTGGCCCATCCCATTTTAAACCTACTTGAGATAGGGCTGGGGGTGGGGGGGTAAGTAGAGTCAGGGAGGGGAATGGAGCCACAAAACATAAATTTGCCCCTTGCAATCTCACAGCTTCCTGCCAACACAACTCAACAAATGAGAAAAGAAAGCTTTGTTCCCCCACTGGAAAATCAGAAAGGTGCACATTAACATCTCGAGACTTGAGTTTCCAAAGTAGCAGGAATATTTGAAAGAGATGTGGCGGGGAGACCTCCAGCCTGGCTGCTCTCCTTCTATTGGCCCTTCCCACTACTGCAGTGGGGAAACTGGAGAATGTCAGACTTGCCCACATCTTCTGGGGAATGAGGTGGGGTGGCAGAAAGTGGGGAAAACCCCTGCCAGCCCCCTAAATCCTAGAGCCATCTCTGGGGAGCCAGTCACCTTTGCTCACCTGCTGTGTACTTGTTCAGAGTGAGCAGATATTGAACCTGAGCCCAGGAGAGGCCCCATCAGGTTCTCAAACTTGCAGAGCTACCTGCCATACCCAGAGAAAACCTGTCTGCATGGCTACACAGGGGAGACCTGCCTAGTCACCAAACTTTAAAGCTACCTGTAGATAAAACAGAATAATCTCCCCTTTCCCCATCCCACCAAAGATTTCCAAATCTTAATCCCTAGAACCTGTGCATATGTTATGTTACATGGTGAGGGAGAATTAAAGTTGCAGATGTAATTAAGGTTGCTAATCATCTGACCTTAAAATATCCTGGATTATTTGGATGGGTCCAGTGTAATCACAGGGATCCTTCAAATGTGGAAGAGGAAAACAGAAGGTCACAGTCAGAGAGATTTGAAGATGTCGTGCTGTTGGTCTCGAAGAGGAAAGAAGGGACCTGAGCCAAGGAATGTGGGTGGCCTCTAGAAGCTGGGAAAAGCTGGAAACAGATTCTTAGAGACCTCAGAAGGAACACAGCCCTCCTGACACCTTGATTTTAGTCTTGTGAAACCCATTTCAGTCTTCTGACTTCCAAAACTGTAATAAGCTTGTGTTTTTTAAGCCACTATGTATGTGGTAATTTGTTACGGAAGGAGTAGGGAATGAATGAATATACCACCTACCCTGCTTATGGGAACTTTCTGTTAAGGAAACTCCTCACCTGCTAGCCTAATGACCTGGTGTGAGTGGTAAATCAACTGAGAAGTAAATTAACATAGCTGTTAATATGGACAGTTAGGAGCTACATCGATATGAATGCACAAGTAGTGAAAAACTCCTGGAAATGTAATGAAAATCATTATCTCGTGGAAGTGAAAAATCAAACTCCCGATTGAAAAATTACATAAATATTTCCTCCTGAACAGAATTAATGTAGGGAACTTAAGGTAACTTAAAGAAATAAGTTCTCAATGAGATATAAGAATAAAATGTGAGCAGAATGCCATGAAAAATAGAGAAATCTAAGAACAATAAGGATTTTTTTTTAAAATATGAAAGTGGTATTACATCTGTGAGTTTTTAGCTGCCCAACGTCCATCCATTCACCCCACTTCCAGGAACGGCCACCAATTTGGGCTCTACTCTCAGTCCACAGGGGTCCAGTGGACACTGTTCCCCTTCTCCAATGCCATACAAAACATTAAATGGAATTTCAGTTTTGTAAGGGCCTTTGAACATATCTCTATTTTACTACTTGATATATCTTCATCATTTACATATATATCTATCTCCCTGTATATATTATGAGTTTCTAGAAGGCTGGCGTAATGTTTCATTATCTCTTTTCCTAGTGTCTTTCAGGGGGCTTTGAGTAGAGATGCACTTAAGTGAATATTGATGGGCTAAAAGGATGAATGAATGAGTGAATACATGACCAAATAAATGATACAATTTGAAGTGTGAGCAGAGAAATTAAGCGATCCAGAAAGTTGATACTGCTAAGAAGAAAAATAAACAAGGATCCTAAGTGTAAAAAATAAAGGGGTTGGGGGTGATTTCCATGGTGCAGTTGCTTTGGAAACAGTTTAACAGTTTCTGAAAAAGTTAAATATAGACTTAAATCATAACCCAGCCGTTCTACTAGTAGGTATCTACCCAAGAGAAGTGAAAACATACATCCATACAAAGACTTGTATGGGAGTGCTCATAGCAACATTTTGACAATAGCCAAAAAGTGGAAATAATCCAAATGTCCATGTGCGGTGTTAAATAGTATCTCCCCTTCCCAAATTCATGTCTACCTGAACCTCTGGCTGTGACCTTATTAGGAAATAGAGTCTTTACATATGCAGTCAAGTTAAGGTGAAATCATACTGGATTGGGGTGACTAACTCATATATGACTGGTGTCCTTATAAGAAGAAAAAAATCTGTACAGAGACAGACACACACGGGGGAGGCCTGTGAAGATGGGAGTAGAAATTGGAGCGATGCATCTACAGCCAAGGAATGCCAAGGATGGCCACCAGCCACCAGAGGCTGGAAGAGACAAAGAAGGAGCTCCTCTAGAGCTTTTGGAGCATATGACCCTGCTGACATATTGATTTCAGACTTCCAGCCTCCAGAACTGTGAGAGAATACATTTCTGTTGTGATAAGCCACCTAGTTTATGTAATTTGTTACAGCTTACAGCAGCCCTAGGATCTAGGGCTGTATAATAATCTATTAATTGGTGAATAGATGAAGTATAGTAAATCCATAGAATAGAATATTAATCAGCCACAAAAAGGAATGAAGTACTGTTACATGCTACAACATGGAGAAACCTCAAAAATATTATGCCCAGTGATAAAAGCCAAACACGTAATGTGTGATCCCTCTTACTGACATGGCCAAAAAAGGCAAATCTATGGAGAGAGAAAGTGATGTCCCAGCGCTGGACTAAAAATGAGGAATGACTGGATGGGCATAAGGTTTCCTTTCAGGGTGTTAGAAATCTTCGTAAGTTAGATTGTGCTGATGCTCACATGACTCTGTCAGCAGGGACTAATAATTCATTGAGTTGTACACTTAAAATGGTGTGTAAATCGTACCTTCTATGGTAGGTAAATTATATCTCAATAAAGCTATATTTTAAAAAAATAAGGGTTCCCATTATCCTGAAACACCCTACTCTTGTTAGAGCTTCTCCTGGGATCTCTACCATCAGCATGTGGTCTACAGGGAAACTTAAACCATACCACTGGGACTTTGGATAGATTAAAGAAGAAAATGCTACGTCATTTGATAGATTAAGCTAATGCCCCAAAATACTATGCCACATAGTATTCTCCAACTATAGGATTCAGCCTGAAACCTTCCTTTTTCATTTCTTCATTTTCCCACTAGGGCGCAGACAGCTCTGGGTATCTGGTTGGCAGGAACAATGCAAATGGAGTGGACTTGAACCGCAACTTCCCCGATCTCAACACCTACATCTACTACAATGAGAAACACGGAGGCCCTAACCACCACTTGCCCCTTCCAGACAACTGGAAAAGTCAGGTAGGAGATGAAATTTGCATGCAGAAGCAGGTAAATCAGCATCTGGAATTTCTAGCAATCTTCACATCAATTAAACAAACAAGAATTAAGCATCAACTCGGTGTTAATCTGTCCAGAGCAGTAGGAACGGTATCTTCCGCTCTTTGTATCCATTCTCTGCCCCCAGCAACCCCAGCAGAGGGCCCCTCACGGAGCACATGCTGTTTGATGTTAGTGGCCATGGTAGTGAAGGGAAAGCGCTATCCTACAGCTGCACGGTACTTTACAGTTGTACAAAATTATTCCTTAGCGTTTCAGTTGATTGTTGTAACACTGTGGGGTGAATGCATGGAGCAGTCATCCATCCTTGTTTTACAACTCACACAGCTAATAATTGATGGACTCAGGATTAAACCCCAGGTCTTCTGACTCCTAAGCCAACATTCTTTCTATTGCACTATACTGTCGACAGAGGACTCTAGCATTCTATGGAGAAATCTCTCTTACATGTGATGCACTGTGCGCTCACCAACAATTAGCTATAGAAAGAGATTCAGGGAGCTCTGAGCTCTCCAACCCTGCTACCCCTCTTCAAACCAATCTCTCTCTCTCCCTTTTTTTAATAGACTTTATTTTTTTTCATCCAACAAGAAGCCACAACTTTATGAATAATAAAAACAGTACAAATTTCAAACCAAGCTACAGTTATTCTTTTGAAACACCAAAAAACCAGGTCCTCCATTTTCCAATGGTTACATTGTTTATTATGTAATAGCATTACTGCTGTTCTTCAGGCTTGGACTGCCTCTGCTCCTGACACATTTGCTCATGACGTGACCAATTCTATGTCCTTAACCTCTACACCTGTTTGTTTTGTTTTTTGTTTTTTTAAGATTTTATTTATTTGACAGAGAGAGACATAGCGAGAGAGGGAACACAAGCAGGAGGAGTGGGAGAGGGAGAAGCAGGCTTCCCACAGAGCAGGGAGCCCGATGCGGGGCTCGATCCCAGGACCCTGGGATCATGACCTGAGCCGAAGGCAGACGCTTAACGACTGAGCCACCCAGGCGCCCCTTCTACACCTGTTTGATCAACCTCTTCCTCTTCACTCTCCTCGTGTACAATTGGAGTCCGTGTGTTTTCTTGAATGTTTGAGATAGCTTCACCTTGAACTTTGAATTTCTCAGCAGCTGCTAGTTGCACCTGCTGAGATAAGTCCTCGGTAATAGACTTTATTTTTTATAGAGCAGTTTTAGATTCACAGCCAAATTGAGGGGGAAGTACAGAGTTCCCAGCTTCCCATGATCAACCTCCCCCACCAGAGTGGTAATTTGTTACAATTGAAGAACTACACCGACTCATCATCATCACCCAAGTCCCTAGTTTACATTAGCGTTCACTCTTCATGTTGTACATTCTATGGGTTTTGACCAGTGGATCATGGCATCTGTCCACTGCTATAGTCTCATACACAATGGTTTCACTGCCTTAAATGCTCTCCTTTTAGCTATTTTGTATATTGGGATTCCACATGCAATTTCATTTTGAAAAAGAGTCCATCTACTTAATTTTTTAAACCATCAGGCAAAAGACCAAAATTTCCCCATCTATACTTCTCATATCCAGGAGGCTGCTCTTTGTTGTATTCAGACATGCCGTCTTCTCGGGCCACTAGCTGACAGACTGATTTGCATGGCCATTTGGCACCTCCGGCTACAGCTTCACCGCCAGGCCCTCATCTCTCCACAGGTGGAACCCGAGACCCAGGCTGTGATCCAGTGGATCCGCTCCTTCAACTTCGTTCTTTCGGCCAATCTCCATGGAGGGGCAGTGGTGGCCAATTACCCGTATGACAAATCCCTTGAGCATCGGGTCCGAGGGTTCCGCCGCACTGCCAATACCCCCACGCCCGACGACAAGCTTTTCCAGAAGGTATGCAGCATGGCAGCTCGTCTGGTCAGAGGCACTTGGGGCTCAGGAAAGTATCTAGGGGGGGCTAATGTGCAAGGTTATGGTGATATGGCTACATTAATGAAAAAATAGATCATGTGCATGAAAAAATATTTACATAATAGTTCAAAACAGCAGGAGAATAAAAAATGGATTAATTATTTTATAGTTAATATATTATTAGTAAGTATGATTAATATAATTAGCATTAATTATTAATTTATTGATGAATGAATTCCATAGAGAATTACACCAGTTATTGCTTTGCAAAGCAAATATATTATTATATTTTTTCTTCCAGTAATCTCATTTTTCCCCACTGTTATGAAGTAGTAATGAAAGAGAATTATAGAGATTCCACATATATTCCTCTCTCTCCAACACACCTCTCACCCCCAATACATACAGGAGTCCCCCCTTTATCCTTGGGGGATACATTCCAAGACCCCCAGTGGATGTCTGAAACTGCAAATAGTACTGAACCCTATATATAATTTTTTCCTATACATACCAATGATAAAATTTAATTTATTAATTAGGCATGATAAGAGATTAGCAATAATAACTAATAATAAAATAGAGCAATTATAACAATATACTATAATAAAAGTTACGTGAATGTAGCCTTTCTCTCAAAATATCTTCTGTAGGTGCCCCTGGGTGGCTCAGTCAGTTAAGCAGCCAACTTTTGGTTTCAGCTCAGGTCATGATCTCAGGGTCCTAGGATCAAGCACCACGTTGGGTTCTGTGCTCAGCAGCTAGTCTGAAGATTCTCTCCCTCCCTCTCCCTCTGCCCCTCCCCTTGTTTGTGGGAGTGCTCACTCTCTCACTCTCTCTCAAATAAATAAACAAATCTTTAAAAAAAAATCTTACTGTACTGCACTCACCCTTCTTGTGATGATGCAAGATGATAAAATGCCTACATGGTGAGATGAAGTGAGCTGAATGACGTAGGCATTGTGACCTAGCGTTAGGCTACTACTGACCTTCTGACATATTGTCAGAAGGAGGATCATCGGCTTCCAGACCGCAGTTGTCTACGAGTAACCGAAACCACAGAAAGCAAAACCACGGGGGAGGGAGGACTACTGTAATTCTCTTCATGGCCAAGGCTTATCTTACTTGCTCCTTGTTTTCTTTCATAAAACTCAGCTAGAAAATGGTACACCTAGAAAGGAGTTTATATGTCATCTAGTGTCACCGCTCACTTTGCACTTGAAGAAGCTTATCCCCAAGATAGTGGAAAAATCAGAATACAGCTCTTCTAACTCTAGTCCACCACATGCAGGCACACACACGCACACACACCATCTTCCTACGCCTGCTGGTATTTTCTTTCACTAAAGCAAGTAATCAGTTGTTTATACATAGTGGGGTTTTGTGGTGTCACCCTACTTCTGAGTATGAGCATTGCTGAATGAGTTGGGAATACTCAGGTCATTTTCCACCTGCTATACCTACAGCTGGCCAAGATCTACTCATATGCACATGGATGGATGCACCAAGGTTGGAACTGTGGGGATTACTTCCCAGATGGCATCACTAATGGGGCTTCCTGGTATTCTCTCAGCAAGGGTAAGAAGAGTCCTGGGTACAAGAGTGCTGCAAGCCGAAGTGGAATAGGGCTCATCTCTCTTTCTAAATTATCATTTTTTCTCAGGGAAACAACAGGAATACCATAGAATTTTACATTCAAGTAGAGATCTGAGAAATGGAGAAGTCTTAAGGTGGCATTCAGTGTCATTTTGTGATTCTTTAAAACAAAGGTAGAGACACCTTGTGGTCCTTTAAAACTGGTGGTTTACACAGTAGATCAGGGCATAGGAGGAATATAATGAAGTCAAGTGGTTGAGAGTGTGGGTGTAAGAGTACATTGGGTTGAAACCCGGCTTGCCCATTTACCAGTTATGTGGCTTCAGGGTAATTACTTAACCTCTCTGTGCTTTGATTTCTCACCTGTACTTTAACAATACTTGCCAGGCGCCTGGGTGGCTCAATCGGTTAAGCATCTGACTCTTGATTTTGCTTCAGGTCATGATCTCAGTGTCGTGAGATTGAGCCCCATGTTGGGCTGCATGCTGGGTGTGCAGCCTGTTTAAGATTTTCTCTTTCCCTCTCCCTCTGCCCCTCCCTGCCATGCTGTCTCTGAAAGAAAGAAAGAGAGAAAGAAAGAAAGAAAGAAAGAAAGAAAGAAAGAAAGAAAGAAAGAAAGAAAGAAAGAAAAGAAAGAAAGAAAGAATAATACTTGCATTGTAATTTTGATGTGAATATTAAGTAAAATAATGTGCATAAAGCATTTGGAAATGCCTGGCTTGCTTATAAATGTTAGGGTCTTCTTTTTTTTCTTTAAGATTTATTTATTTGTTAGAGAGAGAGAGAAAGAGAGAGAGCACAAGGAAGGGGGAGAGGGAGAGATGGAGAGGGAGAGAGTGAATCTCAAGCAGACTCCTCACTGAACACAGAGCCCAACCTGGGGCTTGATCTCACAACCCTGAGATCATGACCTGAGCCAAAATCAAGAGTCAGATGCTTTACTGAGCCACCCAGGTGTCCTAAATGTTAGGGTCTTTTTTTTTTTAAGATTTGTTTATTTATTCATTTGAGAGAGAGAGAGTGCAAAAGCTAGAACACAAGCAGGGGAGAAGGTCCAAGGGAGAAGGAGAAGGAGACTCCCCACTGAGCAGGGAGCCTGACACAGGGCTCGATCCCAGGACCCTGGGCTTCATGACCTGAGCCGAAGGCAGAAGCTTAACCGACTGAGCCACCCAGGCATCCCTATTACGTGTCTTTTCTGAGTAGCATGGAACTATGCCTTACATAGCAACAGATGAACAAAGGAGCTGGCCTGGACACCCACAGTTCCTCTGCTATGTGCTCTCTGTACCCTGCCTGCCCATCACAAGTGTTTGCCATGGACATTGGCTATTGGATGGCATAGCAGAAACCTCCAGCAAGAGGCTTCTCTCTCTATTCCTTGGGCCTTCCCCAACACCAAGGGTTGAAATAGAACCTCTGTTTATTAACCTTCAGTAGATAGGGAACATAAAGATAGGGAAGAGGCTGAAGCAGGAAGCCAGGTTCTTTTAGGCATCATGTTTTAGCAGCTATCCATACTTTCACATCTGACCTGGACAGAGCCCAGGTAACAGAAAACGCACTGATAAGAGCTGAGCTGATAGCTGGTTCTGTGGAAAGTAGAGAGGAAGAAGGTTAGGGAGTCACCAAGTACCGGGAGGTGATAGACTTCTTGTGGCTAAAAACTTGCTTGAACACAAGGTGAGAAGATTTTGTTGAACTTTATTATTATTATTATTTTTTAGTTTGCATTAGGAAACCAATAGGTCATCCTCCCCCCAATTTAAAATATGAAATGTACTTTTTCAAATTGTACTTGTTTCTCCCTCCCCCTTCCCATCATCTGGGAAAGCATGGTCCATGCTTCCAGTGAAAATCATTGCCCTAAAATAAGCTGATACAATTCCAGGATTATTCAGCTCATTACAATGATTGGTTCCACAGTGTGATCTCTGGACCAGCATCATTAGCATCACCTGGGAACTTGTTAGACTGCAAATTGGGAGGGGGGCTCACCCCATACCTACTGAAACCCTAGTTAAGGCCCAGCAACCTGTATTTGGCTGGAAGGCACAGCTTTCTCCATTATTCTGATGCAGAGAGTGATCCAGTGAAAGAGGCACAGTTCTCCAACTTTCCCCATTCTCTCTATAACAGCCACTTATGCTCCTCAGCTTAGAGCAGGTGAAGTTGACTAGATGAATAGTTTTTAACCCAAATACCCTTGTGATATAAACACCACTCTAATAAATCAGGAGCATATTAAAAAATCATTGATTCAATTGGAGAATACAGAAGATAAAAGCAGAGGAGCATTCCACTGAAGAAAAGTACAGCTGCCTTCTGCTTTTTCAGGGGCCTGTTTTTCTGGATTAACCATTCTCAGGTTAGTGCTGTGTTCTCAGATAGGAGGAGGGATGTGAAAGCAAGATATTCATCTTATCTCGAACCTCCAAGGTCTGAAGAGTATCATCACCCAAAGAGAAGGTCTGTCCCCTTGGAGGCAGTACAGGGGCAGAGTCTAATGTCAAGGCACCACTAACCAGCAGACTTTGGAAATGCCAAGGGTCAGGAAGTGAATTTAAGGGATGAAATGGGGAGGAGAGGATGGGGGTGACAAAATGGGCATTTATGAAGAGAGAAAACTGGGAAGTTGGGGAAAGGTTTTATGGAGGAGACAAATAAGTGGAGACTGAGAGGTAGAATAGAAGGTCATGGGGGGCACGGAGAAATCATGGTTTTGGAGAGTTGAGCGGGAGCATTGGTGGGATCCTGGTTATACAGATCTGCCGCTGCCCTCTTCCCCTTAGGAATGCAAGACTTTAACTATCTCCATTCCAACTGTTTTGAGATCACGTTGGAACTGAGTTGTGACAAGTTTCCTCGCCAAGAGGAATTACAGCGTGAGTGGCTGGGTAATCGGGAAGCCCTCATCCAATTCTTGGAACAGGTAAAATCCCATTCTTGAACTTTCCTGGTTACAGAAAGATAAGTGTTTTCCGATGGTAGCAAGGGTTTTTGTGAGGCTCAGTTCTGACTTTTACTTTGACTCCCTACCATACATCTGAGCTTCTTCTACCCATCAGATTTAGTCATTCAACATCATTGAGCACAGTTATCTGTCAGAAATGGTACTGTGTGCTGGGGGTTATGGGCAAACAAATATCCCTGCCCATGTAAAGCTTGTATTCCAGGGAGGAGAGACAGACACTAAACAAAATAATAAAGTGAATTTTATAACATGTTAGATGCAAAATCCGATGTAGAAGACCTTACAGAGAAAATGACATTTAAACAGACTTAAAGGACATGAGGGAGAGAATCATACAGCTTTCTAGGGGAACAGGGACTCCTTGATGAGGACACGACAGGAAATGCAAGGCCTGCAACAAGCAGTCATTAGGGAAATGCAAATCAAATACACACTCATTAGGATGGCTTCTATAAAAAAATTACCGTAAAAGACAGTAGCAAGCATTGGCAAGGATGTGGAGAATTAGAACCCTTGTGTATTATTGCTGGGAATGTGAAATGATGCAGCCATTATGAAAAACAGTATGTGGTTCCTCCAAAATTAAACATAGAATAGCCTACTTGATCCAGCAATCCCACTCCTGGGTATAGATCCAAAAGAACTGAAAGCAGGATCTCAACGAGATACTTGTACACTGATGCTAATAGCAGCATTATTCACAGTAGCTGAAAGGTAACCATGACCCAAGTTGCGACCCAAGCGTCCACTGATGGATGAGTGGATAAATGAAATGCGGTTGGGACATACAATGGAATAGTCTTCAGCCTTAAAAAAAAAAAAGGGAATTCCGAGACATGCTGCAACATGGATGCACTCTGAGGACAGTATGCAAAGAAAAATAACCCAGTCATAAAAGACAAATGTTGTATAATTTTATTTATATGAGTAGTCAAATCCATAGAGACAGAGAGTAGACTAATGTCATGATTTACCTTAGATTTTCACAGGATCGCTTTGAGCATGCTGTTGAGAAGAGATTGTTGAGGAACAGGAGGACGGAGAGACCAGCTAATTAAGGGGCTATTACCATAATCTTTGCAAAGATCACTTGTAAAAGCATATGAGAAAGGGCTTTGAGGACTCCCAAACACTGAACACATGTCTCATGGTCATAACCGTGCACTGTAAACTCTCCCACAGGTACACCAGGGCATCAAGGGAATGGTGCGTGATGAGAATTATAATAACCTTGCGGAGGCTATCATTTCTGTTAGTGGGATTAACCATGATGTCACTTCAGGTAGGTGGCCATGCTTAGTGGGGTGAGAAGGAAGCCTTCACGTCCTCACCTTTTTTCAGCGTGATTGGGAGGCCAGTTTGTAAGCCAGCGAGACTAACAGAGGTGTCAAAGACATTGGGGGTGGGGACAGGAGGAAGGAAGGATGATAGACATAGGGACAGTGAACTAAGAGGCCAGGACTAGGAAGATGTAACTTCTCTCTTAGCATTCAGGAGTCACTGCCTCATACAACTTAGTTAGGGGTGTTTTCTGGGTTTGAGGTAGTGGTAGCTCACATACTGGTGTGAAATGGGGTTGAAAAGAAAAGGACTATAGAACTGACGTTTAGTCTTGTCCGTGACCCAGGCATTTCACTACACCTCCATCCAGGGAAAAGTTACCAAGATGCATTCTATAGGCTTGTTGCAGGGCAAGAGTGATGGCAGAGGCAGATCTTGGAACCAACCTGGAACCTCCTAGAATGGTACAGAATATCTCATATGGCACAGACGTTGCAAACTGCCCCAGCCAAATTTGATCATGCACAACTCTTAGGTTTTTCTTTCTTTCTTTTTTTTCTTGATGTTTGTTTTGGTTTTAATGTAGAACAGTAGCTACCAGTGGTCAGGGGTGGGTAAAATTTGCCTACCTCCCACAGCCTCTATACAAACAAGGCTCAGCCACATTTTACAACACCAATGCCTAATACCACGCAGGCATCTTACAGTTCAGACTTACAGTCTGGTTAAACTGGATGAAATCTCGGAGATAACTAATATTACTGGAGGTGGATCCCAACACATCTTACATGAAAGGCTCATTCAAGGCAAAAGCAGCAACATTCTAAAGGCAGAATTCTATAGCCTCATAGTCAAGCATCAGGCCTCTGTGCCGGTGGCTGGACCCAAGACCATTTAACCTCCATCAAACCTTGGGCATCCCTCAGAACTTCAGGGCTTACTAGATTTTCATACTGTATTCATGCACAGACAGGGAATGTCTCTGAAACATTCTAGCCAATCAATATATATTGAATACCACTAATTCCACCAATAAGAACCCACTTTCAACACTCATTATGCTAAATTAACAAATTACTCATTTCACCACCGAAAAAGCTCATTGCTAACATTCATTATGTTACTTAGAAAAGCATCTAGTGCTGATTACAGAGAAAGATAGCTGAAGCCCTTATAATAGCTGTATCTGGAATTGGGCCTTTCTGATATAATGCTACCTAACCATTCCTGGGTGTAAGTCCCCAATTAAGAAAATGACGGCCCCTGGGGTATAACCTACACTATCCAACATATGCATAATAACGTACTGCTTTTGCTAAAGTATTTTAAAAGGAATTACATTTAATAGGGGGCAGAGAAGAGACTTCTTTAGTATTTATAGTCTGTCCCATTCTTAATTGCATTTATTATTTCAATTATTCATTGCTTAAAAGAAATTTCAAAGGCATGGTCACAACTGATTCTAAAGAGATACAAAGTCATTAGCCAAAATGCTGTATCCCTGCCATAGAAAAATGGGCTTTCTTTTGAATTTTATTTTCCCCTTTAGAAGGTGATGGAAGAAATATTAAAAATAGAATTCTCAAAATCAGAGCTTTAGTGGTCATTTAGTCCAGCCCTCCCACTTAAGAGAAGATTACACACATAGAGTACCACTGACAACTGGTCTTCTAACCCGGGGCCATCATGTCCATTATGTCCATCAGTGCAGGTTGTGCACTGCACAACTGTGTGGCTTTACCAGGGACACTCATTCATTCTCTGCTTCAGTGCTCACAATTACATGAAGCAGTCCCTTTCTTTTTTGATAACTCTGTCACAGTAGTTCTGCTTCTGTCTAGCGAAATTTTCCTCCTACAATTTAAACTCATAGTTCTCATTCTTATTTTTTTAGGTAGATGTCATTTCTTCACAGTGGCTTTTCAAACATTGAAACAGAAGTCTCATGTAGTTTCTTTACCATACAAAACATTCATATATCTTTCAGCCTTTCTCCAAGTGACCCTTTCCTGGACATGAGTTTGTTTTAAAATACATGGTATAGAATTAAATGCAATACTCTCAGTATAGAAACTTCTACTCCCCATGAGTGGGGAAACCCATGCTCCTTAATAAATAAAATAACCTAAGATAGTTTTAGATCTTAACCAATTTCATCATGCTATTTTAAAAAATCAAGCTGTGGTCAGCTAAAATCCTCAGATAATTTTTCAGATCAAGGCCCCAAATGGCAAATTTCTAATCAGCAGACTGAGTTATGTTCTTGTAACTTTTAGGTGACCATGGCGATTACTTCCGGCTGCTGCTTCCAGGTACCTACATTGTCACTGCCACAGCACCTGGGTTTGACCCAGAGACAGTGACTGTGACCGTGGGCCCTGGGGAACCCAAACTGGTGAGTTAGGCTGACATTCACAGAACACTGTAAAGATCACTTACAACCTATTGCATGGTTCTAGTCTCTGCTGAGCTTCCTTCTTTCACTTAAAAAAAAAAAATCATTGCTCTCATATGCTTAATTTTCTCCTTTCATTCTATTATATCCTTCCCATTTCCTTTTGTTTTTTTCTCTTTCTTCTGTTTAACACAGCACAATGATGAGGAGCACTATCTTCTAAATCTGGCTCATTTGTCTACAGACCTTGGACAAATTACCTAATCAGTCTTCCTTAGTTTCTTCCTCTGTAAATTGCTGATAAAATCACCTCCTTTATAAGAGGTTGGAATGAGAAAGTGCATATAAAGCATTTAGTACAGTGACCTATATATCGAAAGTGCTCAACAAATGCTAGTTTGTAAGTCCCAGAGACCTTGCCCAGATACACAGACGCCCTTGGGTGGCATGCTTCTGCGCCATCAGCTGGGACTACCACCAGATGGTGCTCTGCCCCCTCCTGGTGCCCTGTGTGCCAGACGGTCTTGCTGGCCACTCACCTCAGCAAAAGAGCCCGCGGCTCTCCAGGATTCACCTCTCCACAGCTGTCTCTTACAGGTAGAACCAGAAGCAAGGAACTTTTTTGACTTACCAGCTGGACCTTTTCAGCTTTGGTCATCTTAGATTAGGATCTCGGAGCTAAAAAAGCTCAGAAGTCACGGACACTAAACTTCAGATTTCTCAAAATAGGGAAAAGGTAATAAGACAGTCCTATTTAATGAGCACCTATAGACCTTGTGTCCCACAAGTCCGCTCTTCCCTAGGGCCTCCTCACTCTGTCCAGTTCCTTCTCTATACAACCCTAGAGCTTAGCCGACCCGCTCGCGCCTTTCCCTGTTAACTCTGTGCAGTCAAGGAGCTTGTTTTTTTTCAAATACAGTTACAGATACCATTTACTGAATGGTTACTATGTATGAGACACGATAGGAGAGCTTTCCAGAACGATCTCATTTAACCTTAACAACAACTCTGTCAGGGACATCTAAGTATTCCCATTGATGGCCAAGGAAACTCAGAGAAGGTAAGAAGCATACACAGCCAGTAAGTGGAGCCGCCATTGCAACCTCTCTTGGGCCTTCAGGGCTGCTTCTTAGCCAGCATGTTACAGGGCCTCATGCTAAGCTTACAAGCTGTGTTCATAACCCCTTATTTTAACACAGGGATCCGAATAAAGAATTCTTTACATCCTCTGAAAAGTCCTCTGAAATTTCTAGATAGTTCCCCCTTTACCCTCTTCTCCTTCTATTCCTAGCTCCTGCACGTTATAAACCACATCTACTTGCAGGTGCAGGAAGCAGACTAACTCTGCCATCGCAGCCTATTATCTGGTTCCAGTTTCCCAACTAACTTTCTCTCCCCCCCTTTTTCTTAATTTAAAATTAATTTAGTTAAAATATAGTGTATTATTAGTTTCAGGGGTAGGTAGAATTTAGTAATTCATCCGTTGCATAAACACCCACTGTTCATTACATCCCGTGCCCTCCTTAATGCCCATCACCCAATTACCCCATCCCTCCAGCCCACTCCCCTCCAGCAACCTTCAATTTGTTTCCAATAGTTAAGAGTCTTATGGTTTGTCTCCCTCTCTGATTTCGTCTTATTTTTCCTTCCCTTCTCCTATGTTCATCTGTTTTGTCTTTCAAATTCCACATATGAGTGAAATAATATGATATTTGTCTTTCTCTGACTGACTTATTTTGCTTAGCATAATACCCTCTAGTTCGATCCACGTCATTGCAAATGGCAAGAGTTCATTCTTTCTGATGGCTGCATAATATTCCATTGTATATATATGCCACATCTTCTTTATCCATTCATCTGTCGATGGACATCTGGGCTCTTTCCATAGTTTGGCTGTTGTGGACATTGCTGCTATAAATATTGGGGTGCACGTGCCCCTTTGGATCACTATGTTAGTATCCTTTGGATAAATACCTAGGAGTGCAATTGCTGGGTCGTAGGGTAGCTCTATTTTCAACTTTTTGAGGAGCCTCCATACTGCTTTCCAGAGTGGCTGCACCAGCTTGCATTCCCACCAACAGTGTAGGAGGGTCCCCCCTTTCTCCGCATCCCCGCCACCATCTGTCATTTCCTGACTTGTTAATTTCAGCCATTTTGACTGGTGTGAGGTATATCTCATTGTGGTTTTGATCTGTATTTCTCTGATGCTGAGTGATGTAGGGCATTTTTTTCATGTGTCTGTTGGCCATTTGGATGTCTTCTTTGCAGAAATGTCTGTTCATGTCTTCTGCCCATTTCTTGACTGGATTATTTGTTCTTTGGGTGTTGAGTTTGATAAATTCTTTATAGATTTTAGATACTAGCCCTTTGTCTGATAAGACATTTGCGAATATCTTCTCCCATCCCTTTTTCTCATTCTACCCTAAAATCCAATGACTGATTGGCAGCTGCGTGCATGAGCCCTGCCTTAAAAGTGCTCTTCATTGTCAGATTTGAGCAACGGCATATCCGCTGAAGTTATGTACTCTACTGCAAAAGATTTCACTTCCTTTGTCCTATAGGCTTTAAATAAATTAACATAACCTATCATTATGTCAAATATAACAGAAAGAAAAAAATTATCTTTTGGATATAATTCCCAGAGAGAAAACCAGCTAAGAATCCATTAGAACCTATCTCTCTTTTCATTTTAAAGCAGAGATCCATCTGGCTGGGGGAAGAAAAAAAGGGAAAAAAATTATTTACTAGAGGGTTTTCATGTTACAGTTAAGACTCTTTCAAATATTTCCCAGAGTTGTCCAGTGTCCTCTTTGCTTTTCTCCACATCTGGCCAGACATCAGGCTCCTTTCCTTTTCCTCTATCCTTCCCTCATTTTGTTGCCTTCTCTCTCTCTCCCAGATCTCTGAATTACTATATATACGAAATGGTAATGATAACAGTACAGTTAGCTCTGGTTTCCTCTACTTTGGGGAACTAGCAGAAAAGCTGGCTGTGGATTTTTGTGGAAGAGGCAGAAAATAACCCCATGGAGAGCTCTCTTTTCTGTTGTTCAACTCTCAGCTGGCTTCAGCAGCTCCAACTGTTCCAAGGGCCTGAAAGCCAAGGATCCCTCAGGGGAGTGTGGTTAGAACACTGTGCCACTCCCTCTCGCTAGGATGGTTCCACAGCCAGCAGAGCCTACACTTGTCAGTCAGAAGCATCTTTACGTCTGCATGCCATGGCCAGAGGGCAAGTTTCAATGTATTGCTGGAAAGGATGCATTCCTTGCATGTGGAAATTTGGAATTTAAGAATCCATGTAATAATCTGTATCATCTCTACTATCTATAATTTCAAGCAATTATGGCAGCAAGTTTCGATCTGAAGGTCTGAGGTATTCGTTGGCATGCCTGAGCACAGCACCTGTGATTCACACATTGGCATAAAGGGGATTATTAGGGCACCATCAATCATAGCTCCTGTCCTAAGCGACACTATTAGTGAAATTGTTTGAGATATAGATGTAATTTTCTTCTAATACTTATAAAATAAATGTATATTTAGTTCATCCAGGTATATCCTATGTATCACCAGCGATTATGTACCACTTCTTAGGACTATTAGCCAAGCGTGACACCACCAGGGCTACTGTAATAATGTTCCTTAGTCCCTTGCCCTCGGGACCTGGAACTGTGGTGAAACCAGGTCCAAAGAGGTCTTCCCCAATTTCAATTCCAGGAAATAGAAAACTGACTCCTCTACTCTCCTAGCTGCTGCTTTTTTTCTTCCAGGTTAACTTCCTTCTCAAGAGAAGCATCCCTCAAGCAACCCCAACGAGGCGAGTTCCCAACTCAGGACCTGGAGACAGAGTACCAAAGCCAGTGTAGCCCCGGGTCAGCTAGGAAGGAGGAGGTGGAGATGACGCAGCCCCAGAGCGCTCCTGCCTGAGATCCACAGTGCTGGGCCCGCTTGTTAGAAAGGCTTGCTCCTGCTTTCCCATCAGATGAAGCTATCTTTCTATTTTATTATCTGGGACATATGTAAACATAAACACATTCAGAACAACTCAGAATGGTCTCTGTTCCCAGAGTTAGATCCTCTGATGTGGCAGTGCATCCATCCAGCAGTATTCAGTAAGATTTTCTGATTCTGGGGCTATGGTTTGGATCCAGAAGTCGCCACGTCGGTCCACGCAGCATCTGGAGACCAGTTCCGGCTGGTTGGCCACTCTACCTCCAGAATCTAGCCCCGAGCCTGCAGCACAGCAGGCACGCAAGGGAGATTTCTGAATGAATGGCTCAAAGGCTGAGATGATTCATCATTGATGTTGTTCCCATAGCGAGGCCAGGTGACCAAGTCTTCTGAAATCCTGGAGGACTATTTCAACAACAGCCAATAGTTTCTTAATAAGACAAGGATTTCACACACGAGTACCTAGATACTGCTCCTCATTTTCGTACATGGGCATTTTACACAACATGCATCTTTCAAAACATTTTCTGGGTGAAGTGTAATGTAGATGCCGCTATGGAATGACTGTCCTGTCCCTGTGCCGGACGGCCCGGCACTGCCCACCTTGCTGAGTTCCCCAGGACCCGTCTGTACTACACGTGTTACTGAGGAAGGAGATGTTAGTAAAGATTTTGAGGAGATGTGGAGTCACAAGCACACAAGTTCACAAACTCCCATCGGGTATGTTGGGGTTCCGGAGTCCCCTGTCCTCGGGGCTCGGTGAGGGTTCTTTCCCAGACAGGGAAAAGAGCCTGTTTTGGAGCCCAGCCTCAGGGAGACAGGGCAGGCTCGTTTCCTCCACTTGTTCCACATCCCCCCACTCTGTCAACCTCCCCCACTCCGGCCTCTAACTAACTAACTAACTAACCAACGTTGAGTACTTTTCCTCCTTTCATCAAGTATTCCCACACCCATCAGAAAACAAAAGGTGCTTAACTGTGACAACCCACCCTCTTCAGGAGGCCAGTCAAGACTACAATTAACATGATTTATTTTGCTGTGACTTTATCAATCTCTCAATCTGTGGGCAAAAGGAAAACAGAAGAGAACATATCTTTTCCCATTTAAAAAGGGAATTTTCTCCTCAGGTGATTAATGCTTTCTCTGCATTTTTCCTTTCTTCCCAATTTAAATCCCATATTCCTTGGTTCTCCTTTTGTTTTTAGAAAGCAGCAGCTTCTTGAGAGGGCTCAGTGGAATTTTATGCCTGAGGTTGCCATATGCTACTTGGGTTTCCCAGATTTCCCAGAATATCACTTGCTTTGTTTTCAGGTTCCCCGGTATGTAGTCACTTAGCAGAGCTGATATTCGAAAAGTATAGTCATGGTTTTTCCCCTCATTCATCCTTTCATCATTCATTTACTCATTCATTCATTCATTCATTCATTCATTCAGGGGACATGTATGAGTCCTTGCTCAATGCAGAGAATACAAAAAATATAAGATACAGCTCGTGACCTTCGGCAGCTACAATCTAGTTGGGAAGACAATACATTACACTGCATTGTGATGATTGCTGATTCAGTAAACTCTGGGGTGGGGAGCCTGTGGGAAGGTCCCTACTATGGTCTTGGGACAATCAGGCAGGAAAGGCATCCCGGAGCTAGTGATGTCTACGGTGAGATGTAATAAGGTCAGGTAAAGAGGCATTGACCAGGTGGAAAGAAATGGGAAGCAAGTAAGGGGGCAGGGTGGGGGACTGAGTGAGGAGCTGAAAGCCGAAAGCCCAGGCCAGTGGGGTGGGGAGGGACAGATCATGAAGGACTTTGAACCATATCACAGTTTGGACTTTATCCTAGGAAGAACAAGGAGGCATTGAAGGGTTCCTCTCAGGGAGTGGCAGGATTAGATTTAGAATTTATCACCCTGGCTGCAGCCTCAAGAGCTGGCTGCAGTAAGAGCAAGACTGAGTCAGTGAGGAGCCTGCTGAAAGCCAGCTGAGAGGGCAGTCTGAACCTGGGCGGGGCAACATGATAGGGAAACAAATCAGTCATTTTAGATGAATCAAAAGGAAGATTATCTGGGGTGGGCCCGACCTAATCAGATGAGCCCTTTACAAACAGTTTCTCTAGCTGCCCTCAGAGGAAGAAAGCCAACAGCTAGGTTGTAAACTGCCTATGGAGAGAAGCTGAGAATGCTCCCACCCAACAGCTAGCAGGAAAATGGAGATCATAGTCCTACACCTCAAGGAAATGAATTGTGCCAATAATCTGAATGAGTTTGGGCTAACACCTGAGTGCAGCCTTGTGAGACCAGAGCAGAGGATCCAGCCAAACCATGCCCAGACTCCTGCAACATAATACGTTTGTGCTGTTTTAAGTCTCTAATTTGTTATGCAGAAATAGAAATAGGCAGTTATGCAGTAGTAGATTTGTTATGCAGTAACAGAAAAAGAATATATAAACTATTTCAATTTTTTCTGTAAATTGGGTTGGGTATAAATAGAACACAAATAACCAATAGCAGTCCTCGTACTGAGAGGTAGGGCTGTCACGCTCCCACCTTGAGTGAATGTATGTAAAACACAGCACAGGAAAAAAACAAAAACACACAACTCTTTTTAAAGAAGAGGGCTGCTGTAGTCAACTTGACCCAGGAGGTGACCGTGACAACATTTTCTCTCCCTAAAGGCACATGTCTCTGACAGCAGGGACTTTAGCCTTTGGATGGCTATAGTGTCTTGCCTCAAATAGTTCCCATTATTTGTACCAAATTGCTTGTCACTTGACTGGGAGCATGCACCATTGGCACAAAGACTAAAACAAGAGAAAATGTAAAGGGTCTCCAGAGACTTTACAGACAGACTCATTCTTCAAATGAGGACTCTTCTCCCTTTCCCAAAGGATCAAAAATCAATACACAATGTGCAACATCCTGAGCTCTTCCATCCACTTCAGGATACTTTGAAGGAAAAGCAAGAGCAGGAGCCCTCGTTAATAGCCAAACAGTTTGAGATCTTATTCTACAACAATTATATCCCAATACGGTAGTGTCAAGTTTTTATCTGTTAAAGATCCAGGATATGAAGTCATAGCAGTTAATGTATTGATTTGGTCACCTGACAAGCGTTGGGTCCCATTTATGAATCAGACCCTGTGTTAAGAGTAGGGGAAGCAGTGGGTGAACCAGAGAGACGTGGTTCCTCCTTTTTCGGAGTTAGAGGGATGTAGAGGAAGAGACAACAAAACAAGTTAATAAGCATATAAAAAGAACTCGTGTCTGAGAAGGTGCCGAGAGAGGGAATGCGGGGGGGGGGGGGGGGGGGGGAGGGTGCCTATCTGAGATAGGATGGTTACGGACGACTTCTCTTAAGAGGTGATGTGTAAAGGATAAGAAAAAGGAAGGCTTACGGAGAATAGGAATAAGAGTTTCAGGCAGAAGGAAGAGCAAGCTCAAGGACCCTGTGGCAGGAAAGAGCCTGGCTTGTCCTAGCTGCATCTCTTTCTAAGGATGTGTGCACGTGTATGTGTGTGTGTGTGTTTAGCTTCCCAATCTATAATCTAACTTGCTAGAAGCCTAACCCAGCATAGGTCCAAGACACGGGATAGCATCCAAACCACACTGAGTCTAGTCATAAGTGAACCAATAAGATTCACTTTTTCCGTGGCCACAGGGAACACCCCACCCCAAACCAGCCATCTCAAAAACAAGGATCAAGAAAGTGGGACAGCATGGCTTGGGACAAATCTGCCATCAGACATCAAAGTTCATGTGTCCAGAGCCTCCTCTTCACATATGTGGTATTATGATTTGTCTAAGACACACATTCTCAGCACACACCCGGCATGACACTATCATGCCCACCTCCGTTCTGGAATATTACTTCATTTCTACTTTATTTTTTTAAAGATTTTATTCATTTATTTGACAGAGAGAGAGATAGCGAGAGCAGGAACACAAGCAGGGGGAGCGAGGGAGAGGGAGGAGCGGGCTCCCCGCTCAGCAGGGAGCCCGATGTGGGGCTCGATCCCAGGACCCTGGGATCATGACCTGAGCTGAAGGCAGACGCTTAACGACTGAGCCACCCAGGCGCCCCTTCATTTCTACTTTAATACTAAGCTCATTCTGGCCGTTAAACCATGAGTAAACATTCCCCCTGGGCAAATGCCTAAGCAAACATCAATTCTCTCTCTCCTCCCAGAAGTTAAATTCCACTATTTATAAAGGCTTTTTCTTTTTCTCATTCCTCCCCTCTCTGAATGTGTTGCCCCACTTTCCTTCCCCTCATGGATCTTTCCTTCTGCTACCTTCATTCTCTTCACCTTCCACCATTCCCTGAACCCCTGAACCCTCACTGTATCAAGGCCTTGGAGCACAAGGGATGCAGCATCACTCAGAAGAGGGGGCCCTGGAGCCATTACAGAACAGGTGACAAGCGCCAAGGAGAAGCCGTCGGGTGGGGCTTTTTCTGCTGACACGCTGCTTCCCGTTGCACAGTCCCAGGGAAGAGGCAAATGAAATCATCACTTGGATCCATGTCTACCCCCCAGGAGGAGGGACGAAAGGCCTCTTCGACTTGCTTTGAGAGAATCCCATGTGAGGCCTTTGGAATGAAGAGTCCTTCCTGGGCATTAGATCAAAGGAGTCAAGTGAGTTTCCTTAATGCTTTCTGGACTCAGATGAAGTATAAATAAACTAAGAAATAGAAGGACCACACTTTTTATTGTATATCCAAATATTGTATTTTACATGCTGTAGTTTATAGCAGACTTTTATTTCATAGGCTGATTATAAAAAAAACATTTTTTTAAATTTTTTTTTAAAGATTTTATTTATTTATTTGAGAGAGAGAGAATGAGAGACAGAGAGCACGAGAGGGAAGGGGATCAGAGGGAGAAGCAGACCCCCCGCTGAGCGGGGACCCCCCGATGTGGGACTTGATCCCGGGACTCCAGGATCATGACCTGAGCCGAAGGCAGTCGCTTAACCAACTGAGCCACCCAGGCGCCCAAAAAAACCATTTTTAAATGGAGGATGCTATGGACTGAAGGTTTGTGTCCTCCCCAGAATTCAGATTCTGAATGTGAAGCTGTAATGTGATGGCACTTGGAGGTGGAGCCTGTAGGAGGTAATTAGGTCATGAGAGTGGAGCCCCCACCGTGGGATTCATGTCCTTAAGAGAAGAGGAAGAGAGCTACCTTTTCTCTCTCTCTGCCATGTGAGCCTACAACAAGAACGAGGCCATTTACCAGCCAGGAAGCAAGTTCCCACCGGAATCGGCCAGGCTGACATGCTGATGGCAGACTTCCCAACCTCCAGAGCTGTGAGAAATAAGCATTTGTTGTTTAAGCCTATAGTAATTTGTTATAGCAGCTGGAGCAGACCAAGACGAAGGAGAGATAAAGGGCCCACTACCATTCTCATTTTCTATTAAGGACAATTAGAAAAATACAATTGCTATCTGTTATGGCCATCAATT